CTGACCCTCCCCCCTCTCATGCTCTCTCTATCTCATTCTCTCTCAAATAAATGAATAAAATCTTTAAAAAAAAAAAATATTGCCAAACGTGACATAAAGAGATAGGGGAAAACTAAAGAAGGATATTTTGGAGTGTACAAATGCTGCTTTCTCTGGGAACAAGACAGATCTCAGCAGAAATTCATTTCGGCAGCCACAACTTTTCTTGATTAATCAGAGAACTGGAACCAGTTTATATAAATGTCAATATGTAATATACAAGGAAGGTTATTTTATTTTTGATCTCATGGCCTTAAAGAAATTACCTAACATTTTAGGTACCCCCCCCAACTCTACAAGTATAGCAAAGTTCAATTTAACAGTGATGGTGAATAATGAGTAGTGAAATGAGCTGAACTACTGGTCATTTGAGGATTCTCAAGCTGTTTTGCTGGGGTGTGTGGGACATTGTACATTTTATTTCACCATTTTAGTGGATTGTGGTAGTCAGATGAGTGAACTACTCAGGGGATCGATCATCTGCTGTATGCTTTTGGAAATGTAATGAGTGTAACAACAAGAAGTAGTACTTTTTCTTAAAATAGCTGTATTTTGTATTTGGCTCATTCATACATAGTTTGCTTTGCTTTTTCCTTTTTTGCTTTTCTTGTTTCTTAGAAAAAAATGCTGAAAGGACAAGGAACATTTGATGGGGAAGGTAAGCATTTGATTTTCCAGACTTTTATTGCTGTTTCAATGTGGAATATCAATTATAAGTTGAAATCCAACTGCAGTAACAAAAACACTTAAGATGAGAAAAATGTCCAACTTCTTCCCAAATTATACAGTACAGTACAAAGCTCTGCACTAAGCTAAATTTTCATCCAGTAATACCAGCAGTGAATGGAATTAATGGCATTCTTTGTAAGCTGATAACTTTGTCAGCCAATGTCCTGGATTTTTAATTCTTATCTACTCTGGCTCTAGACTCACCTCCCTCAAAAAATGGAGAAAGAGTAAGAGCTAGTCTGGCTTTTTAGTTAAAAATCCTGAGTTTGGCATTTAGATCTGCAGTCATATTTCCTTTGACTTAATATTCTTTCCCCCACTTTTCCACATTTTAGTGTCACTTCTGATTTCCTGCTTGCTTATCAAGTTTCAATTTTGGGGAAATCTAACGCTCCTGGCTGCTAGAAACATATTCCTAAGAATCTGTAACCCGTATAGAAAAGCTGCTTCAGCCAGGTGTTCAAAACCTAATCAGATTAGTGGACGTTGGTAAACAGATGGGTCAAGTGTCAACCAACAGAGCGAGTGAGCAGCCCCACCTGCAGCCCTTGCAGGTCTGGGGAGCATGGTGGAGGTAGTTACTTGCTGTCATACTTTGAACTGTTAAGATTTTCTGACCTTTAAAGAGTCATGAAGAAGGGTATGCCTCTCTATAAGTAAATATAATGTAAAATCACCCAGAGTTATAAAATACATAATCTTAGGGGATTATAAACTGTTTCCCTATATACTTCTTATAAAAATCAGTTCCCTTGGAGTATTTCAACATGACCAGTTTAAAAAAACGTTTTCATTGCACCAATCTTAGGAAACTGCTCTGTATGGAGAAGAAACCCAGATATAGTATTTTAGCTGGTTTGGATAAATTCATGTCCCTGGTTTTATAATTGAGGAAACTGGGAGCTCGGAGAGGTTTAGTGCCTTGCCCACTGCATTGTCACACAGCAGTAGTACAGATAACTGGTTCTTAGTCCAGTTTGCTTCCTTTGTATCACTTTATGACCATGAAGTGAACAGAGCGTCTACCTGATATGTATTTAGAGATGTTTTGTATCTTCTCAGATATGACATTGATTCCGGGATCTCTGTCTCAAAGGGTTAGAAATTGTTGAGCTTTTTTTTTCAAGTCGGAGGACACAACTTTTTTATAGTTCTATGTTGTTTCCTTTTATATGGAGCTGTTTCTTTGCACTCTCTTGTGTCTTCTCAAATATGATGACCTAGAAATTGTTCTCACATATATGCACATGAGGAGTACAGAATTCTTACAGTTAATGACTAACAAGAATAGTAACTCAGGATGAGATGCGGTAGAGTGGTGAGAACCTCTCATGGTGGAGTCAGGGACCTTGTTCTTCTCCTACTGCTTCTGTTCATCAGTTGAGTGACACTGAGCAAGCCTTAGTTTCATCATGTATGAAAGGAGGCTAATAATACTATTATTACCTGGGTTTGTTGTGAGAATGAATGAGGAATCTTATCAACAGTGTATGCATATGTCAGACAATCAGAGAACAGTAAAATCTTGCACTGAGTCTGGGATTATTTTAGTCATGGTGCCTACAGAACATGCAGCAGTTGATGAGAGAGGAGGCAGACGTTTGCCCCCTTCAGTAGGTGGGAAAGGCATGGCAAGCTCAGTGTGTCCCAAACCAAATGCCAAGTCTTTCCCTCTGAAGCTGAATCTCTTCGGGTGTTGCTATCTCGTCCTGTGCCGTTGTTGGGACCTGCCGACCCAGGAAACATCCTTACCGCCTCCCTTTCTCTGACCCCCATCTCCAGTCCGTCCCCAGGAGCCCAAGTGTCCATTCTCCCATAGCATCCTACTGAGTCCCCTACGCACTCAGTGATTTGCTACAACAATAGAATCAAATCTTTCCTTTCCGTGGATTCCCACTACAATCAGGATAAAATACAGTCTTCGCAGTGTGAAAGAAATTCAGTCGTTTTGTACTTGGGATAAAAATCTAGTTCTTTAACGTTGCCTGCAAACCTCTGCTTGATTGGGACTGTCTGGCTCATCTCCCTAAACTCACCTTGCACCTTTGTCCACTAGACACCCGTGCTCTACAGGTGGACTTTTCCTTTCTTCTTCTAAGGTATTACGTTTCTTCTTGCCTTGGGGCTTTTGTATATGCTTTCTCCTTTATCTCTGTAGCTTCTCAGCTTTCAGATCTTAGATTTTTCTTAGTAACGCCCATCTGACCTCCAGACTGGGTCACGCCTGCTGAGAGTCTGTTCTCAGAACACCTGTATATAAATTGTTCAGCTTATAGGTATGTTTATGTACAAGATTATTGTGTCCTCAACCCACTAATGACTTGCCTTCTCACTTGGAGTGAAAACCAGAGTACTTTCAATGGCACTGAGTCAAGGGCCTACATAATCTGCCTCCTATTCATCCCCAACCCCCCTCTCTTAAGCTTTCTCCCTTTCCTAACCCCATTTCAGGCATACAGGCCTTCTTGCTCATCTTTGTACATGTAGATGTACAAAACAGACTCCTGTCCCAGGACCTTTGTACTTGCTCTTCCCTCTGATGGTATGTTCTTTCCCCAGCTGTAAGGTGGCTTACTTTCTCACCGCTTTTAGGTCTTTGCTTAAATGTCATCTTGGTGAGGCCTCCCCAAACCACCCTATTTAAAAATATACATACCCTCCTTGTAACGCTCCCCTGTTTTATTTTTCTCCATGACACTTACCAGCATCTGACATACCCTAAAAGGTACTTGTTTATTTATTGCCATTCTCTGCTCACTCTGATGTCCACTCTATGAAGATTCAGATTTTTATCCTTTTTGTTCATCATTATATCCCTAGTGCCTAGCAGTTGTTGGCATCTCGTAGGCATTTTCCAAATATCAGTTGAATGAATAAATGAATGAGTGACTTGGACTATTTTCTCTTCCTATTTTTAGCTCGTGAGGACACAGGAAGTATCTTTTATTTTCCGCTCACTCCCAGCCCTTGGCATATTGTAAATATACAATAAATGTTTGTTAAATAGGTAAATGAATGGTGATGGTCTTTGAAGGAAAAGAAGGATATGAATTCGGTTTAAACTTCCCCCCCCAAAAAAACAAAACCAGTGATTGAACAGGCATGGCTATCCTGCATGAGTGGTGGACAGAGATGTGGAAACTGCTTCAGTGGGTATTTCATGCATGGATCCCTCGCCTTCCCCTGCATGAATTTGGGACAGAGCTGTGTGAGTGAGAAAATCACTTTTTGGTAATTATTCTTCAGTGACAAAATCCATTTGCTTCTTTGTTGTTTATTAAACTGGAGACCAAACATTGTATAAATCTGGATGTTTGTTTGGAACAAGTAGCATAATGATGGGGGCAATTAGTGACATATAGGGTTTGTATTTCTTGCAGAAAATGCTGTCCTGTATCAGAACTACAAAGAAAAGGCTCTTGATATTGACTCTGATGAAGAGTCGGAGCCCAAAGAACAGAAGTCAGATGAAAAAATTGTGATTCACCACAAGCCACTGAGGTCCACATGGAGCCAGCTCTCTGCGGTAAGTGTTTACCTTTTTCTTTCCGATCTGTGGGCATGAAAAAACCAAGTTGTGGAAGTTAGGTTTAGATATGGTTTTAATTTTTTCTGCCAATGATCCTGTAACCTGAAAGAGAAAGACTCTTCTTTTTAGATTGTGAAATGTGTTTTGAAACTCTTCAGACACCAGTGAGAATGTTGATTTTGATACTTCTGATCAGGAAAATAAGGTTTCGATAAAATAAGGTACCTTGACACTGATACAGTATACTCTGGAAGCTTTTCCTGCTCGGTATCTTTTCTTATTTTTTAGATAGTGTATATGCAGAGGTAACTTAATCTATCCTGAACTTTATCATGATTATGGCTATATATACAAATGTGTGTGTGTGTGTCTGTGCATAATAGGGAGTTTATGACAGTTCTTCCTTGGAAATTTCATTTGATATAGACACATTTGTATGTTCTTGCAGTTGATTAATGAGTGGCATTCTGTTCCATTTCCTTCTGTGCATCTTTTGTGTGAGCGTGTCTGACACTTACGTTGTATTGATGAGTAATTTCTCCTCTCTGCATCAAACATCTTTTGTTTATAGCTGTAATTTCTCTTCCTCCTGGCTTAACAAATGTCACAGTGTGCTGCTTAGTTTACTTGATATGAGTTTGGGGACAGCATCTGTGGGCATCCGATGCATTACCAAGTAGAAAGGAATTCCCATGGATGGCTTGGGTGGTGGGAGCATTGCATCAAAAACAAGCCAGTGCACCTCTGTGAGTCCCTTAGGCAACATGGGAGCAGAAGCGATTCCCTCTTAAGCTGAAATGGGCATTGTTCAGAGTCTAGAATCTCATGTATTCAGGGGACACACCGGCATAAGAAAAGGAGTTGTGTATGTTGGAGCTCATAAACAGGCCATGGGAATGGATGTATGGTGATGATGGGAATGACTTCTGGTCAGGTTCTTCCTCCCTTCTTCTACCCTGTGTTGGAATTCAGAATTCTAGAAACCAAGCCCTTTCTCCCTGTATCCCTCCCAGCCCTTAATTGTATTCTAAGGAGGATTTATTCATTTCCAGTGCCTCCAAGGTGTGGCATCCTTAGTATATGCCACAGGCTGAAATGCCTACAGGGGCAGGGCAAGCAGCGTTAAGGGGATGCTGGTGAGTGTGGAGGTGGAGGCCTGGTGGGGATTATGGTGAACAGGTCTGATATAACCTCAGCAGCCGCCACTTAGCTCACACCAGCCCAGTGTTGCCAGATCTTCTGACATTTAGAAAAGAGAATGGAGCAGTCCAGATTTTTATGAATATTATCCCAATTCAAGTGTTAGAAAATGATGTGTGAGGCCAACAAAGTATTTATGGGCCAGTCTTGTCTCCTGTGCTTACAGTTTGGAACTTCTGGGATATTTCTATGATTTTTACATGTGGTCAGGTGGTAATACCTATCCAAAGAAGTGACATATTGGTAGCCGCCTACCCTAATCTAATGATCTCATGATAGTATATCCCCAAGCACATATGTGGAAAAACTGGTGACAAGGCCCATGGAGGCCATGTTGGCACTAAATGGATGTCATTCCGTTGTTGGTGTGGACCATTTGGTAGAGGATCCTTGAAAAGAAAGCTGTGGATTTTTTGAGTTCTTCCTCCGTGGCAACAGCTGCATTTGTTAGCCCCGGCCTGAATCTTGCGGCTATTCTCTGCACGCTAAACAGCAACGTGTACTACCGTGTCCCTTACACTCTGATCTTACCTAGCTTGAGAGCTGAAAAGCAAGCTGCCATACTTAGGCCTCCTAAAGTTTGGCGTTCAGCTAGATTAACAAATGCACGTCAAGATAATACTACACATCCTTCAGTACAACTGCAAATATGGGCATGCATTTCATTTGGCAAAGGATACATGTACCCATGTGCCTTTTGTTAACAAGATTGCTATCAAAAGACTGGTGATAAAATGTAAAACTATGAAGTGGGTTCTAACTTCAGTGTGTGTTATCTTGGGTTTTAGTGCTCCCAGGAGGCTTATATGTATGTAATGTGTTGCTTGGCAATTACATTTAATCAAAGCAGCATTGGACTTTGCTACCTCCCATTCTTAGACACCAGCCTGCATTTTCTTTTTTGCATTTTGTGTCTCCTTTTCACATTTAAGACAGTTTACTTTAGTTTTTTTTTAATACTTTTTTTTTAATTTTTAAAGATTTTATTTATTTATTTGACAGAGAGATAGAGAGAGAGCACAAGTAGGCAGAGAGAGAGGGAGAAGCAGACTCTCCACTGAGCAGGGAGCCTGACGCGGGGCTCCATCCCAGGACCCTGGGATCATGACCTGAGCCGAAGGCAGCCGCTTAACTGACTGAGCCACCCAGGCGCCCCCCCCCCTTTTTTTTTTTATAAAGTACTGCAAATATGCCGAAAAACTCAAAAATAAGTATGTGTAAGAGATTTCTGGGTACCTGCCACCCACGTTGAACAAATGTTAACATTTTAACATCTTTACTGCCGATCTCTCTTTTTAGGCAGATCCAGTGAACAACCCTCCTCTCTAGTATTTCTCTCCTTTCTGCTTTCCCAAAATAATCACTGTCCTGAAGTTCTCTTCTGGACTTCCCACGTGGGTTTTCTATCCACTAAAACGATGCAAGCAGCTCTGGCTTTTAAGAAAGTAGATATTTCAACGCAAAAAGTGGTCATTTCTTTTTTAGAAGCCTAGCAGTTGTTAGGTCCAAGTTTCAGTTAGGACGCTAAAGAGAGGAAACTTTGTGAACTTTGAACAATGTCAGGATGTCTCCATAGGGATCAGCACCTCCATTTCTCTGTCTGACCTCATGCCCCAATCCTTCCTTGTCGAGGGGCTGCAGCGGTTAGTGCGGGTCTCAGAAACATGTGCTCTTTCCATGCTTGCCTTTAGTGTGCCAAATTAATAGGGTAGCCCCCATCTAATCGTGCATATATCACTTTAACAGAAAACTCTTCTTTGGGTATGGCCTTCATCCCAGAAAGAGAGTAGGACAGGGGGTTTTCTGAGTGTGAGGGTTTGTGTGAGCACACATGCGCATTAGCTCTTGTTTTATTTTCTTAAAATCTCCTTGTTGCAAACACCTGCCTGCCTCCTGTGATGATGAAACTTTTCTTATCAGTTGACTGTAGGAAACATTCAGTATGCAAAAGGCTCTTGAGTAGTGCGGCTGTTTGCAGTAATGTATGGGGGTTGCATGGGTCTTTAAGGCTTCAGTCTGACATAGAATGTGTTAGCGTGCTTGTTTATATGTCTCCTTTGGTTCCATTGGACAATCACATGGGTGACAATTGTCCCCACTTACACTGTCGGGGACAGGTTTAACTGTAGTGTTGTGGTTATCTAACAATTAAGGGAGAATTAGAACTGGGTGAGAGACATTTAATTGGGCCTCAATAGAAGGGAGAATCTAGCTGCCACAGACTTCTGTAGTCAGATTGAAGTAAGTGAATGGGGGATGTACTTAGCACTGGTGACTCTGCCAACAGGTTCTCCATGCAGCGGTGGCTGTTCTCCCGTAGTCAGAAACACAACCTGGGCTCCTTAGTGTATCATAAGATAGTGTTTACTCTTCATTCCCTTGAACTTCAAAGGAGGTAGATCTCTTTGAGTCGATACAAAGTAGGTAGGTAGGTAGGTGTAGGATGTCTTCATTCCAGGGAATATAACTTTGTGCTGCTTTTCAGGCCTGGGAGAACCCTAATATACGAGAAATAATTTAAAATCATTATGGTTCCCGGATTTGAGGCTTTGAGCTTGGAAAGTCATTTTTGACTTCTAGAGATCTGTGCCCAGAGACCAAGAACCTGCCACGCACAGGTCAGTTGCCCAGTGACTCACCTAAAATGGCAGCGTGAGGATGAAGCCAACAGTTCTTGGACCTCTGGGACGAGCTTGTGGATTTGAAGAAAAATATCGATACTATTAGTCGGGGATAGAACATCCAAGTCCTTGTTACAGTGACTGCCAGGTGTGTGGCCAGTTGAGTGCGGGATGCAAAGGGAGCTTCAGGATTTCCTAAAGTTCATCCTTTAGTGGGATTCTGGAAGCATTTGCAGTATTACAGAAAATAAAAGATAAATCTTGACTGGAGTCGTTTTGTTTTTCCTCATAACCACGCCTGCCTGTCCTGTGTTGACGCACTGAGCATGTACTGAAAAATGATGGTTGTGAAACCAGTGTTTGTTTTGTCAAGATCAGTGACAGCACCGAAGCCATACTCACCAGCCATGGCCTGACCCCATTTATTTGCCATGGGGTGTGTTTGTGTAATTTCCACCACCTTCACATGCCAGGTACCTTTGAAAAGGGTGTTTAGGCTCCAGAGGCAAAAACAAGCATGCCTGCAAACTTCCCACTGGAATTGAGCACCTAATATAGTCATCCTCTGCTCTGCTGTGCTCTTCCTTTGCACGCGCTGACAGGGGGCTTTATCAGTCATCTTAAATCATTTTGAGTATCTCTTCGGTTTGTTCAAAAAGTTTAAACTCTCTAGTTAGGAATGGGTTTTTCTATTTCCATCAGAGCATTCCTTCAGCTGTGCAAAGTGGGGCTAAGGGTTTAACGGGAGATCCGATGTTAGGACCTCAGTCTCTGAGTCCTGGCTCCGCTCTTCAAGCTCACACCGTTTGCCTCTGGACAACTTTCTGGAACTGCCAGATGAGAAAGGGCGATTTGAAAAATGGTGATTTTATAGAAATGTAATTTCATCCAGTTGACTCTATAACAGACACTTTGGGGACTTAGCAGTTGGATCTGATGGGACTTATTCTTTTAGAATTTACACCGTGTTTATTGTGAAAGATCTTCTGTTTTCTACTAAAAACTAGAGCTCAACAGATGTAATAAACCTGAATATTATCCTGTTTGCAGAAAAATGTCTAATGCATTTAGAGGTCATAGAAAAATGCGTTATCTTTCCTTAAATTTTCACACGTGTCTGAATTAATTTTCAGTTGTTTAGTGACTTGCTCCTTAAAATAATCTCTTCAGTCATATAATT